ATATATATATATATATATATATATATATCTTTTAAGTGAATCAAGTTGCTTAGAATTTTGGTTCAAAGCCACAGTTTCAGTGACCCATTTTAACTACCCACATGATATTTGTGGGTAAGATATTTGTGCATACAGAAAACTACACTGATGTATGCAAAGAGGTATTTGCATGATTAATTGGGCAGATTGGCTAATTATGTGCCTAACAATCCTCTTGCATGTGCAATTACTCAGTCTACACATATATGCATGATTTTGTGCATGCAAATTGATGTAATCAAAAATGTTTCAAGTAAAATTAAGCTGGAAATGCCGCCCATGATGTTTATACATGTACACTTAATGTTCCCTTTCTTAGTAGCAGCAAAGACTATATCTGGAAGGGAGGGGAGAAGGTGGACTCCTATTCTGTATACCAATATGATTTTTAGTGTACCCAAGAGCATACTGGCCACTTCACAGAAGACTAAAAAGACACCTTACAATCTGTGTTTTACATGACAAGTAAGGATGACAAAACAGTAAGAAGAGAATGAGACCAGGAAGAATTATAGCAATGCAAACACACAGTTACTCATTGTCAGCATGTGAACATCATAGTGATTCTGGATTTTCCCCCTTCTAATTTTATTAAAAATAATAAAGATATGGCAGACTGAATATTAATTACTCATCTATTATGTATACTGATTTTTTTCTCTCTGAACTCTTTAATAGATGTTCACAATATGTTGCTATACCCAAGAGCTGAAACATTAAAATATTCTTATTTTGTAATAGATATTCTGCTGCTCATGAGGAAAAAGTATAATCGAGCTTTTATACTTGTATATTGTGGTGGTTTTCTTTAATAAGTTTATTTATATCTTGTGAGTTAATATTGGGGCTGTGGTTTGATATTTAGGTTTGGCAGAATTTAGTATTTTTTATAATTTTGATGGATGACATTGGTTTATTTTAAGTCTTTTTTTATTTTTATTTATTTACATTCTCATGGTTGTGCAAAACTGTGGGGCAAGGGGTCAAACAATAAAGGGGGATCAGACAATTATTTAATGAGAATAGATACTGAGATTCAAAAAGTTAAAGCTTTGTAACAGTTAAAACACATATTGCCAACATCATGTCAAAATATACAAAGTACATATCCTTAAATAAAACTCTGATAAATTCTGAAGTAGTATATTTCTTACTTTGCCTGTTTGTGTAACATATATATAATTATCATTGAAAATATCTTTTCACCATTGAAATGGTGTATGTGGATGAAGAAGTCCATATTTATCGACATACTTATAAAAGATTACATTTTCCAAGCCTATTTACAATTCAAGCTCCATAACTTTCCAAGTAATCATATACTGTATGTTAGTTCAAGCTATCATCAACATGTAGCAATGCTTATAATTCAGTTTAGATTGTATAATATATGTTCTCTCAAATCGCATGTCAAAGGCTCATACATATTTTTATTCATGGGCTGGAGGCTACATACCTTGAAAAACTGAAAATGGTAAAGGACAACCCACACTCTTTGTATTTTAAATAATAGATGTTTGTAAGAAAGTATTTGTATGCTTCAGAATGGAAACCATTACTAATAATTAAGAAGTGTGCATGTTTTCATATGCAGTAGTTTGGTTTTGGTGTAAAACAGTTTGGTTTTTAAATTTCCCATGTCAGTATGTTTAATATCAAACTGGGAGGTACAGATGTCACTTGTAAATAATGTGTTTTATACATCGCCAGAGGAAGGTCGATCTAAAGTTCTTGTATGGCTTCATTACCATTGTGTTGGAGGATCTGATATTTTTTTTAATGTATTTATTCTCACAAAACCCCTGTGAGGTAGGGCAGTGCTGTTATTCCCATTTTACAGAGAGGCTAAATGACTTGCCTAAGGTCACACAGGAAATGTGTGGTGGAGCAGGGAACTGCACCCAGGGTCTCTCGTACTAGGCTAGTGCCCTAACCACTGGACTATACTCCCACTCTCAATACATAGTATGTGCTATGTGTGCTCATGTAAAAAAAAAATGAGGCGAACATATGTAATTTATGCAAAATATATTTTTAACATTTATTTCTCATACAACTTTATAATGGCATTGCATGCTGGGAATCTAAAAACATCCTATAGGCAGCAGAAGAACAAGGGATAAGAGGAAGACCATCTGCTCTAAATGATCAAATTACACTGATACACAAGTGAAAGCGTGACACTTTTAGAGAAGTGAGGACGGAGGAAGTAGCTATCACAGGGTATTAGTGCACTGGCTGTTCGTATCTAGAGATCTGATTCAGATTTGTCTTGCTTACAAGTGAGATGAGATTAATGGTGTTAACATAGTCTTCAGTTGATGCTAGTGCACACAAAGCAATTCACAGTAAACTGTGTCATGAATGACTCAGTATTCCCAAGACAATAGCAGGATTGTTGCAGTCAAGAGTAAGGTACATTTGCAGATCTATGTCCCCAATTCAGCAAAGTTTCTAAGCATGTTCTTAAGTATTTTTTACTGATTTGGGGCCTATAAGTGGAAATTTGTGTCATGTAACTATATGTCTAGTTCTGACCAGCTTCCTGGGCAAGTTTGACTTGCATAAAAACATTCATTCTGCAGATAATTTAAGCTCTCATTGATTTTTGGCAGTAGTAAGTGCTAATTTTTATGTGCAATGGGCTTGATTTCCTTTACATTAACACATTTATACTGCTATAATTCATAATTTACACACCCATACAATATTTGTACACACCGTTATGCATATAAGTTATGTTTTTACCCACATTAAATCCTCTTTTCACTGCCACAGTGGGGTAGAGAAGCCATAGCATAAATGAGAACCAGGGCCAGTGTGTTTAGACTACCAGCAATTCAGCATCAGGTATAGATGTAGTTCCACTGCACATTTTTACTACTTTAAAAAATTGAAGGGTGCTGATAAAAGTGGATTTTGTTTTCTATTTTTTTAGTTTTCTTTAATCACTTTGACAAGTAATTCTCAGACTGTGACTCATGAACTACCTGGTGATTAGCAGAGCCTTCTTGGTTGTCTGCACATGAAACACTTTGAAAACCATGGAATGGAAGAACAGGGAATTGAGGAACTTTAATGCTGTGGACTTTCTAAACTGATATTGTGAGGGACTCGCTGCTAAGGACACAGCCCAGTGGATTGAGATTGTGTTGCAGATTTCTCATTTTTTTTCCCCTTCTACTACTTAGTAAGATTCCAAGCAGATAAATAGTGCATAGAAATCACCGATTTATTGTTTTATTCTCATACTTATATAAACCCAGTAGAGTGGTATGCATTTTACATTTTCTTCATGTTGGCACATTTTTTTTATATATGCGCACCTGCTGGATTTTTTTGCTAAAGCAATAAGAATAAGTGTTACTATATCTTCTTTCTCAGTCATTTTTTGCTTACTATAAAGTGTTAGGTATTGAGATACCATGGAGGTGCTCAGATTCCGCAGTGATGCGTGTCATATAAAAGCTGTGGGAGAGAGAGTGTGTAGGAAAGATGTTTTTTACCTACTGGAACCTAATACACAAGGTCCTCAGGTGACTAATAATTATAGTGTGACAATATATATGCTTTTACAAATACTTTTGCTTATCAGGTTAATGCTTTTTGTTTATTTACAGTATGAAAGAGGCTGGTTTAGGCCATAAACAACCGAGAGGTGGTCCCATTTCATCAAACTGCAAGCAGTGTCCAGTAGTTTATACCAATCCTGTTTGTGGATCAGATGGTCATACATATTCTTCTCAGGTAAGAATAAAATAATCAAATTATTCATTCATTCATTCATTCATTGCTAAATGTCAATTTATATTTCCAAAAACAGTCAAATATCCCACTGTTTAATAAAAAGAAGCAGTTATTTATTTTGATTTGAACAGCATAAAAACCTATCCTGGGCTGATACCCACAAAAAATCCAAAACATTGTGAGTCTAAAAAGCAGAACAGCAACAAATCTCACCCAACATAAAACAAATAGTTAGCAGTAAATAAATAAATATAAAGATATTCCTCTACCTCAGATTCCAGAAGAAATCCTACTCCCTGCCCCTCTCCGCCCAGCTCAGCCTTCACAAATGCCTGTTCAAAGATGAGTTTTGCAGCATGCTCTGAAGATTAAAAATTCAAGCTGTTTCAGACCTATGGAGGGTAAACTGCAAAGTCAAGGAAGAACCCCTTACTCACAGTTCCCTCTCTTTTAAATCAAGGAAACACAGGCCAGGCCATTCTGCAAAGTGTGACTGTGGCAGTGGTGAATAAGGCGAGAAACAGTCATCCATGTAGATAGGTCTCAGGCTATTATGAGGAAAGACCAACACTTTAAACTCTACCCACAGGCCACAAGTAGACAGCAACTGCAGATTCGGGGGCAAAGATGTCATGCTCACTATGAGATACTAATAATAAGCAAGCTGCTTCAGTCTCCCCTAGATGCAGTTTCCTAAAGGGCTTAAGGTGTGGCACGTTACAGTAATCTAATCTTGAGGTGACAATGGTATGGATTACAGTAGTCATGTCTGCATCCAGAAGAAAAGTTTGCATCCCATGGACTAGGCATACATGGAAAAAAGCAATTGGAAATTTAACCAGGTCTGCAAGTTACAAACTGTATTGAAAAATTATGTGCATACTCTTTTACACTCATTTGGGGCTGGTGCTAAGTATAAATTTAGCCAAATCCCTTAATTGTTTCCTGCAATGCACCACAAACACCTTAGTTTTACATGGATGTTCTCTCAACAAACTTACTCTCATTTGTATCCAAGTATCTCCCAAACACTGACTGAGATGCTTGACTGCACTCTTGAAGCTGGATGAAAAAGAGATACAAATTTGAGTGTCATCACCATATTGAAAGCACTTCAGTGTGGCGATGACACTCAACTTTATATCACCTTCTCATCCAGTTTTGAGAGTGCAATATCTACTCACTAACTGTCCTAACACCTCATACACATTGAATTAAAGGGGTGGCATCATGGAAACCTGCAGTATACAACATAACAAAACAGAAGAATATTTGCCCAGCATTAACCTCTGAGATTTCTTGGGAGAAAAGAATGAAACCACGAGAAGGCAGTTCTGCTCATTGCAGGAACTGCAAGCAAGTCAAAATCCTCTCGAGATCCACCATATAATATTAGTATAGACATCTGATCTTTATCCCACCAAAGTGTCTGCACCAATAGATAATACCTGATGCTTTAGTGGAAGAAAAAAAATTCATCTATCATACACAAGCTATGCACTCATTACCTGTAAAGGCAAAAAAAAAACCCACTTTCTTTATAGAATTTTAATCAATGGACTTACTCATTACCCCACCCATTTAAAGATTGTAGAACTGCTACTTACTGTATTAATTTTCCTTTTGATTTTCTGCTGCACTTGCAATCTGTGCAAAACTTTTCCAAAATATGATTATACTTCCTATTCGTGCCTCCCAGCCGAGATGTACAGATTTGCACTAGCTCTGCTCAATCTAGCATACTAAAAATAGCAGTGTGGACATTGCAGCATAGATGGTGCCTCAGGCTAGCATGAACCCAGGAGATGACGTGGACTTGGTCTCAGGTGGCTAGACTGAGCCACAGCCCTTCTTGCAATGCCCACACTGCTATTCTTAGCGTGCTAGCTCAAGTAAAGATGGCATGCTCCCGGCTGCTGTGTAGACATACCCAGAAGAAGGGTGTCCTGCTCAGCTTTAATAAGATAAGCAGGATATGACCAACATTTCATTCTCAGTGTTGCCAGCTAGCTCTTAATATTTTATCCTGAATCTCATTATCTTTAATATATTTCTTAAAGCTCCAGCCCTTGGAGTCAAGGGATTATGTGAGAATCTCAAAAGTTCATGTTTTTTAAAAGTCAGATTCTAGTTTTTGTAGTTGTAGAGAAAAGTTTGGAAATGTGACCTGTGTTCACTTTAAACTCTCAGAAGGCAAACAAAAAAGAACCCCAAATTGACTGGCTTTGAAATCATGAGGTTTTTTTTCAATAATGCCGTGAGTTTTTGGAGGCTCTGAATGCTTGGGAATGGAAATACTGCATTCTTTTAAAATGAGGATATACTATTTTGACTTTAGTGTTTGAGAAATAGTCATAAATAATTCACAGTAAATTACTATATGCATATATGTATACAGGAACTATTAAAAACCTGTTTGAAACATGCTTAAATCATGCCAACTATCTCGTCGTCATTGTTTAGTAATTCCATATGATAGCACTCAAAGGGCTAGTCAGGAAATGGGCCCCAGGGCTAGGCACTGTACATGCAGAGAAAGGAAGATGGTCCTTCTCTCGAAGATCTTATCCTCTAAAAAGCCAGACAAACACAAACAGGTTAACAACAAATAACCAACTGTATTAAAAGTATAGAATTTACACATTACAATTTCTCCCAGCCCTGTTCCCTCTCCGTACTGATGCCAAAGCCAGATTGTCATTTTTCAGAGTGTATCATCTTCCTCTAGAGTGACCAGACATCCTGGTATTAGGGGCTTTGTTTTATATACTCAATTATACGCCGCTTCCCACCCCCAAAAAGAGTGTCCCGATTTTTCCCACTTGTTATGTGGTCACCCTATCTTCCTTCTATCCTACCCTCATCCCAAAGGAATTAGCAGTCTTTGAAGAGCATTCAAAACAAAACAAACCTAGAAACCTCAAAGTTCCTGAATGCCTCCTTCCCAGCCATTTCTTCCCCAGTCCTTTTATGTGGAAGTGAGCAAGGCTGCTAACTATTCCCTAAGGGAAGAGAGAGGGGATCCATGTGACCTTTCTTTGCCTACAACATTTTTCCAGCAATGGTGGTGGCTCCTGGCCATTTCTTCCTTATAGGGGTACAATTGCAGAGGATGCAGGAGAGATAAGGGAGGAGTATCTCCAGAAATCTTAATTTTTCAAATCTATGTGATGGTTTTATGTTTGGCTTGTGAAGTACCTCAGTATTCAGAGCACTGTATTCAGAATACTGTGACACAGGAGTTTCAGATATTCTAACAGCAGCTACACATGCATTGTGCAATTAAGAGATTCAGAGAGTGTGGAATGAGAGCTCTTTCTATAAAACTTTGAAAATTCTCAAATAAAAGAGACTTACAAGGCAAGTCTGGTTGCTTCTAGTGTAACTAGTTCTGCAAAACTTGTGCAGGCAGAGTCAGATTCTCTCATTTCATTTATCCTTTGAAAAGATGGCAGTGATTTCATATGTACATCTAAATGTCTGCTACTAACACAGTGCATTTTCAGGATATATAGTGCCTGGTGTACACAGAGATGTACAAGTGGTGGTTAGCACTAAAATCATTACAATTGAGCTCTGACACACAATAACTGAAGCAGTCAAAATTGTGTCACTTTGTGTGGAAAGATATGGGGCTAAATGAACCCACTAAGGGCAAGATTCTGCCACCCTTACTTATGTTCATTAGTACTGTACTCTGAGTAGTCCCTTGACTTCATTGGGTCCTATAGGCTCAGTCATGGCTTGGCCATACATAGCAGTGCAGGGGCTGTAGGGAGGTATAAAAGAAAGAGAGAGAGATGCACACACGTGCTCCTGTGTGGCCTCCTCACATTTTCATTGCATGGGTGTGGAGGGAAATAGGGTCTCTTTGTGTCTGGTAGTGTTTCCCACCTCTGTGAAGGGTGGTGGGGAATTTCCTGTGTTCCCCTTCCAATGCCCCAATCAGCACAGCTGAGCTGGTAGTAATTACTACTCCCCAGGAATAAGGGGAAAGAGATTGTTTCTCATATTGCACTTCCAGGGCTTTTCTTTAGGTTGTCCTACTGTGTGTCACTTCTTACAGAGAACTAGGAGCAAATGCAAAATCTAGTCCTTCGTCAGCAAAATGTTAAAAATGTGAGAGACTACAGGAGGTTGTTTACAAATATTTACTTATTCCTCTTTTTAAAGATGTTATGCTTTCTGTATTCTCTCAAATTTATGATGCATGTATATCAAAATAAACATTCAAGGTTATTTGAGGAGCAATCACTCTTGAAATTGACATAAAAGATAAATATTTTTGTTCCTTTACTCCAGGCAAAGTTTATTTTGATTCTCTTCAAGCTCAGTGAAAGCTTAATATTGTTCTATGTAATGGGGTTCACTCTGCACCCCTGGATATTTGGCCCCTGGGCCTCCCTCTTCAATGAGTCAGGGACACCTCAGTCTGGTGCAACACCCATGCTCTTTGTTCTCATAAGGTTTCCCACCACCAGTTCCCAACTATATTCACAGCTACTTTGCCTACAACAGGCCTGGCCGGCAACAGACTAGGAGGCTCCAACTTCCTTCTGTGCCTGACCTTTCTCTTTCCCTCTCCCCCTTCTCTGGCTTCCTCCCAGCCTTTATAGCTCTGGGCTAATAAGACTGGCAGGTGCAGCCAGTTACCAGGCAGGCACAAGGCTATTCACCCAACCCCAATCCATTCCCCTTAATTGGGGCTGGAGTGGCAGGAGCTGATTAAGGGCTTCTCAACCATGCCACATTCTACAGCAGGGGTCGGCAACGTTTGGCACGCGGCTCGCCAGGGTAAGCACCCTGGCGGGCCGAGCCAGTTTATTTACCTGCTGATTTGTCAGGTTCGGCCGATCGCGACCCCCACTCACTGCGGTTCACCGTCCTGGGCCAATGGGGGCGTCGGGAAGCGGCGCGGGCGAGGGATGTGCTGGCCGCGGCTTCCCACAGCCCCCATTGGCCCGGGACGGTGAACCGCGGCCAGTGGGGGGCCGCGATCG